AAAAATATATTTTTTTTTACTTTAATTTTTTTTTTTTTTTTGCAATTTCAAATTTCTATTTTTCCATTTTTCTGCATCACCCACCACTCACCCCAACCCCGCCCCCACCTTCGCACAATTTTTATTTTTTTTTATTTTTTGTAATTTAAATTTCTATTTTTCTATTATAAGTTTTAATTTTATTGTTTATCGGTTTAAAGGCTCAAAATTTTACAAGTTCCAAAATTATGAGTTCGGATGTTTATGTGTTTGGAAGTTTACGGGTTCGAAATTCCGCGGTTTTGAAAATTTAACGGTACGAAAGTTTATGAAATTTGTGGGTCCGGAAGGTTGTTGGTTTGAAAGTTTATGGCTTCATGTTTATTATTTCTAAATTATTTATGAATACTCTTGAGAAGTCATTTTTCTTAGTTTGCGTACCAAACACCGAAAAATGAATAAGAATACTACTTATTTTTTAAGAAAATATTTTCCGTTATACCAAACACACCCTAGGTGTTATCTGTTCTCTCAAAATATAGACAAATTGTAGCAGTAATTACTATGCTTTTCATTAAGAGCTTGGAAGGATCTGGTTGCCTTCCAGAAATCAAAACACTTATGGCCTTTCCTTTCTTAATTTTACTAATAAATGTTACTCTGTCCATTCCACTTTATGTGAATCTATTTCCTTTTTGGTCTGTTCCAAAAAAGAATGACTCTTTCTAAATTTGGAAACAATTTAACTTAAACTTACAATTCTACCCTTAATAAAAAGCTTTTATGACCACACAAATACTCTAGATCCCTTTTTGACTTGTTTAGTACCATAAATTCCAAAATCTTTATTTTTTCTTAAATTTCGTGCCCAGTCAAACATGTTCACATAAATTGGAACGAAGGGAGTAGTAGTGATTTGCGATGATGAGTTTATGTTCCACTGAATTCATTTATGTTATCATTCAAATTTGGTTGACATAGCCCGTTCTCTTTGGGTTGAATGTAATATGAGAGATAATTAGTACATCTATGGAGAAATCCTCGGCATTCCATAAGAAGTGTGAAGTGTGTTGTACTCATTACTTAATGTCATCTTTGACTTACATCCGTCTTCTTATCGTTTTATCGCAATTGGGGCTTTGTGTTGTTTAGCGCGACGACATGTTGCCTAAGCTCCCATATATAGCGAGAACAGTTCCATTTAACGTTTCTAAGTTTGATCTTTTTGTATTTCCTCTCGAAATCTTGAGAGTTATTTTAACTTTAAATATTTAATATATTCTTCTGCAAATATTTCTTATGGCTCTTGAATTGCCTGATCTGATTTATGAGTCAATTTGATAACCCATTGCAGGATAATCTACTTAGCGGTGTATTTTAGAGGATAATTAATCAAAGAAATAATACAGTTTTCCAGTTTGATTTATTCAGTGTTGATTGTATTTTTTCATGTTTGACCTATGGACGTACATAGTGCCTTTTTTCTGTCTAGGAAGAAGATATTGTGAGGAAGTGTTACGCCCTTGCATGATTTACTCAGTGCTGAATATAGTACTCGCTCGCCAGTACTAATAAGGTATTTTTTGCAGCTACATTTTAACATTTGGTAAAATAACTTCTAAAGAGATCTATTATGATAATAGTTACTTACAGTAATGGAAATATTGAAATAGCAACGAGCAAATCTTTTCGAGATTTGGCATAGAACTGGGGAAAAAAATGGACTAATGCATTGCGCGAAGCGCGGCCATATTTACTAGTAAATAAATAATTAGGCACGCCAACTTTGTACACTTTGTGCCACATAAGCCACAGGTTCTATAAATTCACAGGTTGCACTGGTAAAGCTTGCAGTTGCACTGCAAATCAGGTTTCCACCATTGGTCGATTCCATGAGCTCGATTAAAATCTGGAGAAGGACTCGAATTAACACTAACAAAAGCCGAAGGTAGTAGGTGCGACGGTACCGACTCTTTTCCTATAGCAGTCGAAATAATACTTCTTATTGAATTCTGTGTCGCAATTCGTTCGATTTTCCCAGCGCCAATCGCAATCATCTTTTCCCGATGTTCGAAATATCCAACATATTCTGAGCAAATAGGATCTGATGGATTCACAAACAAATAAGGAACCCATGCAGATAATATAGTAAAATGATCATTTTTATGTGGACGCTCTGGCTTCTGGATTTTGACGACAACAGCAAGTCCAGCTTTGACAACACTATGAGTAAAGCGGACTCCATGCTTCAATTTCTCGTTCTTGATTTTCTCTATTGGAAGAGATACAAATGGTTGATTAAACAAATATGTTTCGAGATGAATGCCCCTTTCAATTACCATATCCCTTCCAATTGTTAATGCAATTGCAGAACCTAATGAATGACCGGCTAGCCAAATATCTGAGGCCGCGTTATTGTTAACAGTGCTTTCTACAACTTGAGAGGCAATAGAGAAGCGAGAGCTATTGTGAAGATTATTGCGAATGACTCGAAGGTCCAATTTGAAGTCCTGTGATCTGCTGTCTTTTTTGGCAACTGTGCCTCGAAAGGCGAACACATACTTTGGTGGATTCTGATGATACTGGTTCTGATTCTTATTTTGATTTTGATTCTGAGTGTGGGTTGAGTAATAGGAGTAGTTCAAATGGGAATTTGGAAATGTGTATTCGAAAATGGCGCCAAAGTAAGAATGGTCTTCACAGTCCCTCAAGCGTTGGATTAAACGAAAATGGAAGAATTCCCACCAGGGTGGAGCTAGGGCTTTAGGACCTTGGCGATTTTGCTGGCGGTCGAGTTCAAGAACGTACACACTCTGCACTAAGCTGACTGCTACACACCTCCTATGATCTGTATTTCTCCTGTGAAAATGATGAAAACTTGACTTAAATTTTAAATTTCTAATTTCTAACAAAAGATAAAGTTCTAATTTGTCCTAATTTACGGAATGTCTAATGCGACCTAGAAGTCAAATTAATCCATCCTTTGAAAGTTGTAGCAAAGGAAGAGTTCATATATAGATTCTATTCCAAATTTGAAGAATTATAGCTTCTCTTTTTTTAATTTGAAAAGAATCTCAGATTAAAATCTTGAACTATCTCAAAGCTAAGCTTAATAGATACCCTTACCAATCGATAGAAGTGAGGAATAATGGACCAGAGAGGCTGAATATCTCCCCTTCAGATGCCATCAAAACTAAGACTTTCCTTCTCTTTTGGCTCGGGATAACAACTGTGTCATGAACTGAAAGCAAAAAAGCAGACTGGCAATTAATTGCCTCTGTTGAAGTTTGGCAAAATGCCAAAGTCCCACATTGGTTGGGAGTTAAGTTTGGAGGGGATTTTTCCCCTATAAAAGAAGGCCTAATGTTTAGGATTGAGACACACCTCTCATTTGCCTTCTCATCTGTTTAAGGCATTTGTATCTTCTCTCTTTAGTATTATTTCACTTGTATTTTTGG